CGGATTGTAGCCCGCACATTTCTGATTAAAATGAGACGTCCCCCAGCTCTACACGACCTTTCTTTGCAAAGTTATAGAATTTACAAGAAAAGCCCTACATTAATTTCTTCTTATGTCTGTAGCTTTGAGCTGACAATGAACATTTATCGCTTCTTGTAAATTCTATAACTTTTCAAAGAAAGATCGTGTAGAACTGTGGACGTCTCATTTTAATCAGAAATGTGCGGGCTTAAGAAAAGGTTTTGGTTATTTTTTAACGTTTCTAAAAGACTTGTTTTCCAGAAAACCGATCTTTGACGATCTAGCAGGAGCAGTCATGGTGATATTCGGAATCAGCATGGTTGATTACCTATAGTCAATTAGGTTTTGACTGGAAAACGATTTATAAGTTGATGAAACTCCCTCGTAAGTCCAGCCACGCCATATGCGCCCAGTTGCTGTTGGGACCAGCTGTTAATAGACCCAAGTGTTGTGGAAACCGAATCGTAGAATAATTTCTAGCCTATCGGTTAGACTAACGTTTGCATTAATTGAGACAGAGAGTTTAAGAAGTTTGTTGCGTGAGATAAAATAGTGAAGAGAGTAAAATAAACAGTAAGAAATCAACTTTCAACACATAGGAATGGCGCAATCCTATCATATTATGAGTCACGTGAATGGATTTTCCTTTCTAATATCCTTCTTCTTCCTCTTTCTCAAACGAATTGTAAGCAATAAAATTTAACAATATTAAACTACAATTGTGAATATCCCGAAAGAAAAAATATATAATCCTAACGCAACAGTTGTACTCCAGTTTTACTAATGATTGTAGTTCCCATATGTGATAACAACACCACACTATCAATATTGTTGTATTCCCTCAATTTCAAAACATATAATGGTGTACAATCTTCAATATCTTGCGTTATCGAGTTCTTTTCTTTCGAATAGCTCGAAGATTAGATCTTGTTCTGTTTTGATTCCAGGACGAATCTCTTCACCATAGGCGGGAAGGTGATGTAACGGTCTCGAAGCCCGTTACTATTGTGTTAGAGTAATCTTCGAACTACAGCTGTTAGGCTCAGAGTTATGACTAGTAAAACGACGATAGCAGATAAAAACATGCAAAATAGCTACGAGTTTTCTCTTCGTATTTCACAATCGTTTAAGTGGTACGCCACAGTTGCTGATGAAATCCGTTTTTCAAATTACATCGTCCCCAACATTCGTGAAAGACGCACATAGTCGATCATGCTAAATCTAATGCCAACGTTTTTTCGAAGAAACGTAAAAAACCTAGTGGAAACTGTTTTCTATGAAAATTGGAATTTCCACGCTGTTTCTGCCTAATGTTATAAAGTTCAGGCTTCACTCAAAAAACATCAAAACGAGTGAACGTCTAAACCGCTCAAAATCAAAGTCTCGCTTGGCTCCTACTTTCAAAAGGACGCTTTAGGCTATCTACGTATGGAAAAAACCAATATATTGCTATCTTGTCGTTTACACTTACGAAGCGGTTTTCGAAAGATCTTCAAGAAAACCGGTCATTCAGACATGCTTTAAACCTTTTTGGTTATAAACAGATAGTTTATAGTTTTGGCTATTAGAACAGGCCTCCAGAACCTGGTGCTCCAGCCGAGTCCCCGAAGCCATTTTAGCAAAATCCACAAATCGCAGAATGAACTGTGATAGTACACCTAATGTGCTCCAAAAGTATGCCGAGGGGCTGCAGAATGGCCCCGTTTCCATGGAGAAAATCATTCCTCAAAAAGGTCGTTTTGGGACAAAATTGCAATTTTCGAATCGTCCGTATTGAAAAGGATAGCACCTTAGACCGTCAAACTTTTACCAAGTACACTTTGGCACACAACCTATTTGGAAATATGATTGAAAGTTTCCCGGTTGACTCCGTTTCAAATGGGTGCCACAGGAAAATTTTATATCTCAGCAACGAAACAACTTTTTGACCTGCACCTTTTGCCCAAACGTGTCTGAATGTTTGGCTTAAAGGTGTTCCCTAGTCTGAAAAAGTTTTGAGCACATCGGTTGAGGACTACTCCACTGTAGTAGGTCGTGGCTTACGCGCAATGGCTCTTAAGGAGCACAACAATAACAAGTGTTCAGAAGAATGCCCACCGTGTTACTGCCAAAATTGGCGACAGCGATATCCAATCGTTTATCGTTGTTGAAATCACCGACGGTTAACGATTGTGGATTATTGCCAGTTGGAAACGTCATTTGCGCTGCAAAAGTTCCGTTACCATAGCCGAGAAGGATACTCACAACGGCAATGCCATAATTAGCGACAGCGAAATCCAGTCGATTGTCGTTGTTGAAATCTCCAACGGTTAACGACTGTGGATTTTTGTCAGTTGAAAACGTCGTTTGCGCTGCAAAAGTTCCATTACCATACCCAAGAAGGACACCCACATTATTATCGGGCCCACTGGTGACAGCGATATCCAATCGAGTGTCATTGTTGAAATCATCGACGACGATCCAGTTCGGATTATTGGCAGTTGAAAACGTCATTTGCGCTGCAAAAGTTCCATCACCATTGCCAAGAAGGATACCCACATTGTTATCGCCAAAATTCGCTACAACAATATCTAGTCGAGTGTCGTTGTTGAAATCACCAACGGCGACTGAGTACGGCCCAGTGCCAGTTGTAAACGTCGTTTGCGCTGTAAAAGTTCCATTACCATAGCCAAGAAGGACACCTACAG